CTCGGAGCTGGCCCTAGAGCCTCACCTGACCGCCCCAGACCTGCTTCCCATCAAATGTTGCTGAAGAAGGAAACACTGCGTTGTTCCGGACCTTGGCAGGGAGTTTCCTCCCATATCCAGCACCCCAACACTCCCCTCACATGCACACCCGGTTCTGCTACAAGTGTAAGCGAACCCTGAGGCAGGGGAACCCTCCCATCTGCCAGGCGGTGGGGCAAAGCCAAGGTTGGCCAGGGGGATCTTGGAGACTTGGAGTAACCCACCTGCCGCACATGAGAAAAACCTAGAGAAAGGAAGTGACTTGCTAACAGCACACAGCAAGGGAGTGGATACAGATTGTAGGACACATGGAGTAATGGTAACCTAGGGGACCCCTTGAGGAGCTGTGGTGGCACAGTGGTTAAGTGCTCGGCTGCTAACCCAAAGGGCAGCTGTTTGAACCCACCAGCAGAGAGAAAGACCTAGAGATCTGCTTCCATAAAGATTTACAGCCTTGGAAACCCTATGGGGTAGTTCCACACTTCATATAAGGTGGGTAAGAGTCAGAATCCACTCATGGCAATGGGTTAATGGAAGGCTCCTCCAGAGCCCCTGCCCCCTCAAGCCTCCTTGAAGAGACTGACCCACGCCTCTTTGGGACTCAGTCTCCGTTTAGCCACCAGAAAACTGGAGACGGGAGAGTCCTCCCACCTTCCAGCCTTTGTCAGATTCCATTAATGAGTGTTTTTGAAGCTCCCAGGGCTGTTTTAATGAAGGGAACTGTGCAGATTGGGAACTTGTCATTACTGTTGTTATTGTTGCACTCTTCTTTAAAAGGTTAGGATGAGAAGTGCCTTAGACACCTCAGGAGTGTGCTGGGAACTAGGCAGATAAAAGGGGCTGGGACTTATTATTTGTCTAGACTCTTGATTCCCATAAAATTACATAGGGTGACGATAGGAGCCATCATTGCAATGATCATCGTATAGGGTGTTAGGCCTTCCTGGCTGCTGTTTGTAAACCACGTTGACATTGTTGGCTTTAAGCAGCTGTAGAAACCAGTGGAACTGTGCCCACTTCAGTCGCTTTTCCATTTTATTAACTTGTGGATACCCTCAGCGTAAACAAATTGTGACTCGTCCATAACTGGGGTTGTAGAACACACTGAAACCAGGAAAGCAGTTTTACTAAATATGCAAACTCAACTACAAGTGGATTTCATGCTGGTTTGGAAGGACTCTCAAGTAGTCCAGATTTTCCTCGAGGGAATAAATATCAGCTCTTCAGGGCATGGCTAGGACCTAGCCCAGTACTTTTAACTTTCATTCATTGATGTATTTACTTAAAGATGTTCTTCATCGAAGTGAATTTGGTCTGCAGTGCAACCCACATTAATAATAAAATGAAAGCAGTAACCATGAGAAAGAAAAAGATCTAACCAAACCATGCAGGCCGAAACAGACAGCTTCTTTTCACTCCAAGTCCTGGGGAAACTCATTCCTTGTCCCCCAAGTCATTCCTGCTCTTCCTCTCCAGTAGCCAAAACTACAGCCTTTTCCACCAGAAAAAGTAACCCCTGGCTAGAAACAAATCTAGACAAGTCTGAACTTTACCAACCTAGGCAGGAACCCCAAGCTCTGCTCAGAGGTGGCTCCCACTTCAAAGCCTCCTTTCAGTTAAATAAAAACAGGGTGAACAACTAGCAATCTACGAAACAAATACCGTTCAGAAGGGAAGCTTTTCAGATGGCCTGTAATGCTCCTCCTTCTCTCCCCTCCCCCAACCCCTACCTCTGCTTGTGGCCTTAGTTGGGATGCACTAACTCTTTGTAAGTTCTCTAAGTGCCTAAGAACGATTGGGGGCTGCTTGTGGAATGTAAGAATCAATAACTTCTCAGACAAATTAGCCATCACATAGCACTTTTTTTATTGTGGTAAATATACATAACATGAAATTTACCATTCTGAAGTGCACAGCGGAGTGGCATTTACTACCATCACAATATTATGCAACCATTACCACAGTTTAGTTTCAGAATATTTTCATCACCCCACAGGAAACCCATTAAGGGGTCATTCCCCATTCTCCCCTCCCCCCAGCCCACCCAAAACACCAAACTCACTACCATCCAGTTGATTCTAACTCGTAGAGACCCTCCTTGAGTTTCCAAGGCTGTAAATCTTTATGGTTGCAAACTGGCTCATGTTTCTTCTGTAGAGTGGCTGGTGGGTTTGAACCACCGACTTTTGGCTAGCAGCCCAATGCCTTAACCACTCTACCACCAGAGCTCCTTCCCTCCCCCCTCCAGCCCTGTTGTTGTTGTTGTTATGTGCCATCATAATGACCCCTCCTTGGGTTTCCAAGGCAGTATCACTACAAAAGTAGATTGCCCCATCTTCCTTCCGAGGAGTGGCTTAAGCAACCACTAATCTGCTTTCTGTCTCTGGATTTTCCTTTTCTGAACATTTCATATAAATGGAATCATACAATGTGCGGACTTTTGTGACTGGCTTCTTTCACTCAGCATACTGTTTCAGGATCTATCCATGTCGTAGCATATTTCAGTACTTCATTCCTTTTTATGGCTGAGTAGTATTCCACTATATGGTTGGTTGGTTGGTTGGATGGATGGATGGATGGATGGGTGGGTGGAGTCCCTGGGTGGTACAAACAGTTAAGGGTTTGACTACTAGCCAAAGGTTGGAGGTTCAAACTCACCCAGAGGTGCCTTGGAAGACAGGGCTGGTGATCAGCTTCTGAAAAGTCACAGCCTTGAAAGCCCTGTGGAGAATTGCTACTCTGCGCACATGGGGTTGCCATGAATTGGAATCAACTCCACAGTGACTAACAACCACATATAGAGGAATATACCATATTTTAGTCATATAGTACTTTTCAGTTTGCAGAGTGCTTCCAGTGCTTCTATATCCTGTGAGAAAATTTGGGTGACTTCTTTTTCTAAATAGAAAACCAAACTGAATCTCATCAAGGTTATTTGGCTTTCCCACAGGTACAGAGCTCTTGAGTGGCTAACTAAATCCCACGTTGTCTCCTGTCAGAAAATACACGCTCTGGGTCTCATTTTGGATTAGCACAAATATGTAAATAGACTGCCCCGATCCTGTAGAAGTGTCTCTGCTTTGGAACAATAAATGCTCATTGAGCATCTACTATGTGCCAGGTGCTGCTCAGTCCTAGATGGAGGAAATATATATAAGCCAAAAGGAAGTGACAGCTTAACATTTTGGGTAAGAACTCACTCATCTATGCCAAGAAAATTGGGAGATAGCTACCTTGCCAACTGACTGTAAGAGATCCATATTTGTACCCATCCCAAAGAAAGGTGATCCCACAGAATGTGGAAGTTATTGAACAATATCATTAATAACACATGCAAGTAAAATCTTGCTGAAGATAATTCCAAAATGGTTGCAGCAGTATATTGACAGAGAACTTCCAGAAATACAAGCTGATTTCAGAAGACGACCTGGAACGAGGGCTATCATTGCTGATGTCAGATGGATCTTGGCTGAAAGCAAAGAATAACAGAGAGATGTTTATTTGTGTTTTATTGACTATGCAAAAGCATTTGCTTGTGTGGATCATAACAAATTGTGGATAACATTGAGAAGAATGGGAATTCCAGAACACTTGATTGTACTCATGAGAAAAGTGTACATAGACCAGGAGACTGTTGTTCTAACAGAACAAGGGAATACTGCATGGTTTGAAATCAGGAAGGGAGTACGTCAGTATTGTATCCTTTCATAATACTTATTCAATCGGTATGCTAAGCAAATAATCTGAGAAGCTGGGCTATATGAAGAAGAGGATTGGAGGAAGACTCGTGTTGGCAAAGAATACTGAAAGTACCATGGACTGCCAGAAGAACTAACAGATCTATTCTAGAAGAAGTG